TAACTGCCAATATAATCCAACTTCCACATAACTCCCAGACAGCTGGGAAAAGGTCCTCAGAGTTTTAGTCATGGTACAGAAACACACGTCCACACAAAAAATCTGCAGCTGTCCTTTCTCTACACCACATTTTTAATCTGATTTTGGGGCCCAGTATTGAAAGCCTGACAAAACTGAAATACTTTTACCTATATCCTGGCTGACAGGGTCAAATGAAAACTATGCTATTTATTTTCTCCTTCACCTGACAAATCGACATACATTTTTGTGCTTAAACAAAAAAAACAAAAAAGTGGTTGGCAGGAAGGGGCAGGGGGGTGCAAAAATAGCATTTAATGTATGAATGCATTCAAAACCTGGAAAGGCATCTACTGTAATTTTTTAAAGTACAAATCAGCCACTGGTGTGCCTATTAAAATGTTCAATTTCCAAAGCAAATATTATTTTTAATGAAGTGCAGTACTGCAATTATCCTGTACACTCAAGTAACAGTACTGCATTATATTGTTTTGCAAGGTTCCAGAAACACAAAACTTTGCTGTAACTATTTTTCATAGTCCCCCAAGAGAAGCTCACTGCCCAACCATTTCAAGAAAATGCTGCATGTTCTCTATAATGAAACCTTATCACAGAAATTTGGGATCCTTTACAGAAATGAAGTTAACAGAACCCAGACTCCTTGCCGGTGTAGCAGAGTGATTCACCTACTTAAACCATTCCAAAGTTTTACAATTTGATTGATGCCAGAGGATCCTAAATTCTTATTTAATAGCTTGTTTCTATACCCAAAAAGTATATTAAAAGCATGTCTACTAACGGTGGGGGCGGGGGGGAGAAATAAAAGAAAGAATGAATAATGCACTTCACTGAAAAGCCATGCATCTTAAAGCACTAAAGTGCTGACATATTAAGTTATATCTACATTATTAAACTAGTTGGTGGATGCTAATACTATAATCCATATTGCAGACATTAAACCTCAACCATAAAGATTAGCAAAGAATTAATGCTGTCGAATCGAGGCTAAAATTTAACGTGCTGGCCCTAAATATTTCTAAAGGAGATGAAAAACAATTAGCATAAATACCAAAGAAGGGCAAGAACACCTGTTCTTTTTCAGTGCGATAAGCATTTTATTGTTCTCTATTTAGAATGTAATGACCTGTGTAATTACAGTAATATTACATTGTATTGCAGGGGCTTGGAATGTCACACTTTGAAAAGTGTTGTCAAAACAATTGGAGGGAGGAAAGAAAAAAAAAGAAAGGGACCACCATTAACCCTTCACACTCCACTATCTACAGCTTTTGTATTAGAAAGGATTATGTTGTTTGATTCAGGAGATAAAGAGAAACATCCATTTTCCAAGTCAATTTAAAAAAAGTTTCTTTTCCTGAACATAAAACCTTAGCGAGGGGGCGACTCTCGTATTTAGGTATTCCAAACATGCCATCTTCAGCATTGAATACAAGCTTATTTGTGCAATCGGGGAACAAATTCTCACTTGGAAAACAAACACTTTAGAGCAAAGAAGATGCAACAGCATAGAAAATTAGAAAGACCTGGCAAACGGTTCTCAACGACAAAAATATTTCTATCTGCTGGGTGGAACCATTAACCATACTCTAAATTTAGAGATGGGAATAAAATACACTACTTCTCCCTTTTGTAAATTCGGAACTGAAAAATAATTTCCTTTATGATCCCTAATAGGCAGACACCACAGTCCTTCTGCCAGTGTATCTGACAGAGCTTCGCAGCTACGTTACTTCAGGACTATTTGACTAGATCTCTAGTTAATACAGATCTAGTCTTAAAAGCCATTCGCATTACTCTATCAAAGGTAAAATTAACATTATGCTGAAAATCTTTATCTTTTAAAGTAAAATTATTACTATCAAGCTTTATGGAGTCTTTGGCAATTAAAGCACTATTCTTGACATAATGCATTATTCATCATAAGCAGATTTAACGATACTTGGTAATTCTTTATATCCCTACAACAGAGAAGAAAACACTGTTCCTGGGAGTTTGCCCTTCCCAGAACAAACAGCTGCAGGTACATTTGCAAGTAACAAGAATTCTTCTAAAACCAATCCAAAAACAAGACAAAGGGACTAAAAAGAGGGGAGGAAATTGAATCAGGGGGGAACCCCCCCCCATACACACACACAAGCCTCCGGATGCCACAGAAGAAAAAAAAAGGGAGGGGGGAAATGATGCCTATATATCTGTATCACCTTTTACAGTCTTAGAACTTAAATATTGCAGCACAGGCAAATCGACACAGTGCACGTTTTCTCTTAATTCCAATTAATAATCATGCACAATGTTCGATACCTTTCCAAGTTGTGTTAAAAACCAGGAGGGGGGGGGAGGAACTAGCTTGTCTGAGATGCAAAGCTAGGATGTCAAGAATACACCTAGAACAGCATGACAGACAGCAATTTATCCCGCTTAATCTTTATACTATTCTGCTTTCAGGCCTAAATGATGAACTTCATTTTTTCCAGCCTTTATTATGTTCCAAGCAAACATGTATATATACAGAATGTAGGGAGGGGGGGGAAGGTTAATAAGATATTAAAGGGTTTGTGGAGCTTGAATGTGCAAATAATAAAATAGCCTATTGAGTGTGGAAATATCCTTCTAGCATCCATCTGATAACACTACAAGGCCACCTGCTATGTCAGCAATAAAACAACATGTAATCTTTTATACAGAACCTTTAATTCATACAAATACAACATTCCTATGGAGGCTTTTGTTTTTTAATGGGGGCAGGGGGGTCCAAAGTAAGAAAAGAATATTTCCATTAAAAGGTAACCAGTGAATGATCCCTATCTTTTTACTGCACAGCAAGAGAAGCATGGCAAATAAGTGTAACAAGGAACTGAGTCTTATGTTTAAAGAAAAAAGAAAAAAAAAAAAAAACCAACAACATATATATATTACAACTCCCCCAGAAATATAGCAGAGCTGTTCCTTCAGTGGTCCTACTCTTGGAATACTGCTATGCATTTTAAATATGGGGAAATTATTTTAAAGAGAGTCATAATTTGGAACAGTTATTTTGGAAGGGAACGTTTGGCTCTCTTCAATCTAAGGTTGCAAGATTTGGAATTTAAAACATGCATATGTGGACTCACATTCAGAGCAAAATATAATGCATTCAGCCTCTGATCCCCCTCCACACACACACACACACACACACACACACACCCTGCTCATTACAGTTACAAACTGCAGTCACCCCTCTTCTAGTGTCCAAGACATCACAGACCTTGAAAAGCAGTCTTAAAAAGATAACCAAAATAAACCAACACTGCCACATCCTTCAAGATGGGAAAAACCAGAAAAAAACACCATTATTTCATATTCCCATTCCTGCAGATTTGCTAATCTGAGCCTCCACTGTTGCTTTACTGAATGCAAACAAACCTGACCTGATGTTTAATATTTTAATGCTTTAAAACACTTGTAGATCTGAGATACTGAAGTCGCCCAAGACTTAAGCCATTAGTACAGATCCTACGTCTCCTGAACAGTAGATCTATTCTTGCAAATTGCTCTCTCGTGTTACCGCAGGAGAAGGGGGAAAAAAAAAAGTGCGTAAATAGACACATGGTGATGGTAGTGGACCCTCAGATTGAAAAGCCCCTAAAAGATACAGAAGGACAACGCTGAGCAAGCGCATACAAAACACTTCTTAGCATTTTGTACTCCCCGTGGATTTAACTTTCATAATTAAAAAAAAAGAAAGGTTCATCTTGATGTGTGTTTTGTCGGAGCAGACAGCACAGTATAGCATACCGCACGACATCGAAAGAGAAGAAGAGACTAACTAAGCTTCCCCCCCCTCCCCCTCATCATACCCCAAAGTTGAACAGATCCCCACTGCCTGGGCTACACACACACACCCCATCTACTCTGCCCGTGCTGCCCAGCAAATCTAATCTTTCATCCACGCTCCCATCTCAAAAGGGGGAAAATTTCAGCAGAATCCCTGCTTTTAAGATCTGCTTTCAAGTGGAGAGTTGTTGGTTTGTATTCTTAAGATGACAATTTCTGCTTATATATATTTAAAAAAAAAAAAAAAAATCAATTCTACCCTGTGCTCCAACTCCTGGCGGGACTTAGCTAAGTAGCACCCCCCCAGCCGAGAAAGAACGACTTCAGGTGCCCCTGGGAAACATTTGAAAAAGCAGGGCGTCATTTAGATCAGGCAAAGATGGGCTATTTCTGCGAGCTTGGCTTGGGATCGCTGATCCTTTTCCTTTTAAAGAAAAGAACCTGGACTGCTGCTTTGCAATGAAATGTCAATACCTTCCTGCTCCCCCCTCCCCCCAACCCCCCCAAAAAGTGGAAATAAACTTCAGGCTCCACATTTCCCCTGCACAAATTGCTGAACCCAAGACAAGTGAAAGGCCAAAGACAGCTTGAATGAACCAAAAAAAAAATAAAATAAAAATAAAAACACAACAAAACAAAAAGTTCCTTGTCTTGATAAACCGAAAGAAGGAACAAAGTCTCACTGAAGCTAAGACAGTCCATCAGCTACCCAGGGAGCTTTCTGCAGCAAGGGAAGGGTTAAGGGGGAGGAAAGGAGGAGGAAAAAAAAAAAAAGTGTGTGTGTGTGTGTTGGGGGGGAGGGGGAAAAAGAAACCGAGTCTGCACTGGAGAGGGCAGGAGAAAACATCCCCCCCACCCCGGCCAACGAGCAGTTTGGTGGAAAATCAGGCGCTGAGATTCAGCTGATGGGAAAAGAAAGCCCCCAGCCCGGGAGGGAGGGAGGGAGCCCGGCTGCGGGCAGAGCCGCGGGGAGGGAGGCAGGAAGATGGCGAAGGGCAACCCGGCCCGTTGTGCAAAGTTTGGAAAAGTTTCTGGCGGTGCCAGGGGCATGCGGGGGGGGAAGGAAACGTGCCATCCTCACCAGCCCCCCTCTGGGAAGGGACAGGAGAAGGAAGCACAAAACAAGACACAAAAAAGCAGGCACTTACTGTTCTTGCAGTCGGAGACAGCGACCCATTGGGGAGGTACGGGCTGGTCAGGTCGGGGATCATGATGAAGGGATAACCGGGGTAGGGTGGGCCCTTAAACAACCCTCCATCTTGCCTTTTCGCAGCTAACATGGCGGGGGGAAGAGAGAGGGAGACAGAGGGGCAAAGCGGGGAGAGAAACAAAACTTTCATGAGCGAGGGGCCCGCAGCCCCGGGGCCGGCGCACCGCACCGCACCGCGCCGCGCTGCCGGGCCGGGGCCGGGAAGGGGAGAGAGAAAAAGGAAACGCGCCGAGTTACAAGGTGGCAACAAACAACTTTGCAAAGTGGCAACAAACAAACCAACCCGCCGAGCCGAGCCGAGCCGAGCCGGCCGCTCACCTCCGAGTCCGAGGAGCTGTTCTGATTCGTTTCGGACTCGTTGACCAGCGAGGACTTGACGTCCGCTAAATCCCTCTCGGCCGAGGAGTTCTCCGAGATCTTCTCCTCCTGCTCCCCTTCGTCTTTGAAAGAGATCAGTTCATCGTTGGCCCCCAGATCGTCCCCTCCGCCG